GTACCTGGTCAAGTAGGTGTTTTCTTCTCTATGTCTAGTTCATGGCCTGGCAAATTGAGACCTAATGTTGAGGTGAAGTGGGGCTGGGCCACTGAGGTCAGCTCTAATTCCTTAGATTCCAGGCTCCAGGGTCACAGGGAGGGAGCCAGAGCTACTAGGTTTGTTCCAGGTAGACTTAGATGAGGAACATACCTTGAGCTGCCAGGTCCCTGGATGAAGCTGATCAGGCCCTAGTATCCCACAGTGTGAGCCACTACACGGTGTCCAGTGGAAGCTCTGGGCAGTGCAGGTGGCAGAAGATGGGTGTCTCGGAGGGATTCTGGCTAACTCTTGGCTACGTGTGGAGTCTAATCTGCCCCTCAGAGAGAAGCCTGTGGCCACACCCCATCGCAGCCCCAGCAAATCTCCAAAGCACACTGCTGTTCCTCACTGTCCAGGATCCTGTCAGCAGCCTTGGTCCACTCTAAAGAACTTGCCAGAGCTCCCTTGGGGTGGGTGTGGTCCTCTTGCCTCCACCTGAGCCCTGTCAGCTCCCTTACTGCCCACAGCTCAGTTTCAAAGTCCTGCTTGTGATGGCTTATGCCGGCCTTTTGCTTTGCTTGCTTCTGTTTAAAAATTTTATTGTTGGGTCTGGGGGATGGCTCGGTTGGTAGAGTGCCTGCTTTGCAAGCATGAGGACCTGAGTTGGTCCCCTAGCATCCCTGTTAAAAACTAGGCATGACAACACTGGGGAGGCAAACAGGAGGATTCCTGGGCTCTCTGGCTCGCTGGCCCGCTGACCAGCCAGCCTCGCTGAATCCTGTGAGCTACAGGTTCAACAAGAGATCATGTCCCCGCAAGTAAGGTGGTGGATGATAGAGGGAGACACTGCCATCATACACGCACCACCTGCAAACACAAAGAAACGTATTGTTGATGCACTTAGCTTTCAGAAAATTATCTTGAGCTTTCAGAAGTGTCCAGAGTCAGAGCGGAGCCAGGAAATGCAAAGTGTCCTTCACTTTCACTGCCTCCTTGTGGGACAGTGTCCTGGAGGGAGTGAAGAAATTCTAAAGAGACAGGTGTGCTTCTCCCTTTGGCCATCAGACTATTGGACCCCAAGTCATCGGAATTGCCCCAAGGATCTCATGCTTAGGGAGAGAAAGGCTGAAGTCGAGCCAGCCCGAGGGCGCTTGTCTCTCAGAGACCTCCCAGAGTTCTGAAAGCTTGCAGACCACCTTGCAGGAGAGACTGGAGCTGAGACAGTGATGGGTGAGTGGACGGGCAGGACCACACCCTGACCAGGACTGCTTAGTTATGCCCTCCTCCTGCCCTCTGTTTAAGCCTGAACCTCATGTTCAGACCCTGAAAATAGATTTGGGAGTCAGGACCTCTTTGTCCCTCTTCCTAGTGTGGCACACTGAACGACTCTCCTCTCTGATTTTCACTGTTTCAGAATGGAGGTCAAACCTATGCTGGTAGGCCTGCTTACAGCTTTTTCTGTCAGCCTCCTTCCTTCCCTCCCTTATTCCTAGAAAACTCACAACTTTATAGCCACTTTGCTAGTAAGAAAGTAGTCTCCCTACTAGCCATAGGACAGTTACCAAAGTAGCCCAGCTTTTACTCAATCTACCAGGGTTTGTCCTGTGACTGGCTTCTCTCTTTCTTTCTTTGTTTCTTTGTTTCTTTGTTTGTTTCTTTCTTCCTTCCTTCCTTCCTTTCTTTCTTTCTTTCTTTCTTTCTTTCTTTCTTTCTTTCTTTCTTTCTTTCTTTCTT